CAGGCTGAGGCTGCTGTTTGGTTGAGCTGGTCACGTCAGATCTTGATGACTCTATCGAAGCTTTTTTCTCATTAAATTGAAACTTTTTTTCGTATTATTATGACTTTATTCTCGTAATTTGTTTTCTTAGTATGGCCCTAATACTCGGTCGTATAAGAAGAGCGCGAGACCACCTGAGGAAGAAGAGGGTCTCCTCCTCAGTCTCAGTGAAGAATGGCGACCTCGAGCGGCTCCTCTCTCACACTGCAGCTCGTGGAGGCGGGCGCAGATTAGAGCGCGCGCTCTGCCTCTCGTGCCGCAGTTGTAGAGGATGAAGCGGTTCATCTGTGAGGGATGGCGGCGGCGGAGTGATAAATGAGTCCGAGTTGGCCGAAAACATCACAGAGGAGCAGCGCAAAGTTACCCGCGGAGAGGAACATTCTCCCATAACAAGGTCAGACTTTCATTTTTTCCCCACAAAGCGTCAATTTTAATAGAGAAAATCGCGCGAGCTGCCGCTCCCAAGGGCGTGATTAAATAAAAATGATTTGTCTGCGATTTGGAAAACACAACCTCGCGCGCACAAGGGCAGTTTATTTGTTCATCTTTATTCGAAGCATTCAAATCTGAAAATGATGCATTTTGACGACGGCAGACAATGGAGAAAAACCTCCAAAGTGTGCAGAGATGTATAATTGTTCTTTCAGTTAGTATTAGTCTATTTCCCGTTATGTGCGTGTCGTTGTGCGCGGTGTATTACAGTGTGTTTGTGTGTGTTTTGGTGCTGCCAGGCAGAGGTTGGTCCGTCAGTCCCAATATAGAAAGTCACTACCTGTGTTTTTGCAGCAATGGCACCGGTGATAATCCTGGATTTCCTCTAATCTTCCAGCTCTTCTCCACCACACACACAGCTCCTCTGCCACCTACACCCTCTGCCTTCACGGCCAAAAATAAACCCTCCACCTAGCCAGGAGTGAGTACTTCTGTCCACAGTCGTGCTGATAGTGTGTCTCCCTCCTGTATTGACTCTGAACTGTATTTCAAATTGAGCAATACTGTATCTACTTAATGAGTTAACAGGCTCAGTGACACAACTGTATATCCTCCCCAGCACGTGCCAAAGTGAACGTGGACCATTTGTACTGACACACGACTCTTTCTGGCTTATTCAACCATGTGACCATGTTCACCACCGTTTCCAGTTTGTTTCACGTCATGGTGGAGTTGTGTTTTAGAAAAGCATTCGCTTAAAAGGAAAACTTTCAGCCCTGACTGTTTGCCCCTCAGTTGGATGTATTTTTCTTTGCCAAAGTCCTCAAACACCGTGTCCCAGCATCCTCTGGCTCAGCTGCCACCCCTACATCACAGAAAGAACAGCAAATCCCCTCGGCGCATCAAAGTGGCGTGCAGGGGCGGACTGCTGAATCAACAGCAAACTGGTCCAACGATCACCCGCAGCCTCCGCAGTGTTTTAAAAAAGCCTCTGCGCTGCTGTCTCAGATCTCCTTGGGAATGCATTTCCAATTTTCAAGGCCATGATGAAGAGGCATCGACCCACGCGCGTCAGGAAACCCTGTTACTGTGCAATATTTTCTGCCTGTTTCCACGCTGTTTCTCTCTCCGCCTGCTCACTTTTCTAGCTTTGCGTGAGGGTCCTCTTATCCCTCCTCCTCCTCCTCCTCCTCCTCACCTAATGACAGCTCAGAGTGCCTCATAATGAGCTCTCTGTGGACTCGCAGTGCAGGGATGTGATGAAAGTTCTGCAGTGCTTTTCTCTCTCTCGCTCTCCACACACACACACACACACACACCTTTCGCCACCTCTCATAAATTACCCATTTCTGCTCTCTCATCGATTAGTGTGTGGGCGACGGGAGCCCAGTCAGCTGCACTTCAGCAGCTCTTCAGAGAGTGAGTGCCAGTGTACTAAAGCTTTTTATTCTCGTACCACAGGGCATCTGCCTCACTCTCTCCAGCTGCCAGCATGATGAAGGACTGCCTGCAGTTCCTCATCGAGCCGGCCAAGAAGCTCAAAATCCGGCTCAAGGTACGACTCTGTTCTCCTCTGATAGCACAATATTTGCTGCAGATGCTCAACTTGTAAACCTTGCTCTAAAATCTACATCACGTCATATTATTTCCCCCTTTTGACCTCCTGTTTTCGCCCCAGGAGTCTCGCAAGCGAGTTAAACTTGAGAAGAAGGAGCCGCTGTTGGAGAGTCAGTTATTTATTATGGAACTGGCCCGAGAACTCAACAGAATATGCCAGGTAAGCTCTCCTCCTCCACTCCTTCTCTGTCACAAACTGCACGCAGGCATCTGCATCATACATACCGTTTATATCGTCACCCCAGAGGTCAAACATCCTCGGCCACATCTGGACCAGTGAGGATGTCTGGCCGGCCGGCGTGTGTCGGGATTTCATTGTGGAATGGGCCGCTGTGTTGGAGAGGAGAGTGCAGGTACGTGCGATCTACCGTTAGGGATGTTTATGTAACCAATAACCTTCTCTCTGGATGTTGTGCTTTTGCTTAAATGCTGCAACTTATCATTATTTTCAGTGCTGAGTCATCTGCTTTTTAGTATAGAAAATGTGTCTCGTCAACAGCCCAGAACCCAAAAATGTTCAGTTTAACATATTACACATTTGCACGGTTTTAACATGTTTGCACCGTAAAGCCTTTGAACCGATCACCAAAACAGTTGGCAATTCATTTGAACGTGTTTGTTGTTCAGCCGAGGATCATCCTGTCCGACCACCAGTGCGAGAAACCAGAGAAGAGAGACTGGAAGGGACACCTCCTGTGCATGCTGGAGGCAGGCGGCGAGTGCGACATGGGCCCCTACAAAAGAGTCATCCTGGACTGGACACGGGAGATCAAAAGCAGACCTCAGGTGACTGTAGCATGGTGGACGCTGGAGGAGCACGTGTGCCAGCGTTTTCTCCTGGCGGCTGCTCGGTGATTAAAGTGTCCTGACCCAGTTCCTCCTCGCGTCTGATAAAGATGATTAGGCTAAACCCTGCCCTTGACAATCCTCCCATCATACTCCAGAGTGTGCTGGGGGCCATGACTGCACGTGGAACACTCCAGTGAGTGACAGCGCCTCACGCTCATTGTCTCCTTCTTTCCAGCCCACCGTCTGGCCTGGCGAGCCCGTGCTCATGATGCTGGACGACCTGGAGTTCCAGTGGAAGAGGGGGCGTCTCCCCAACCTGCTCCCCGCCATGGAGCTCGTCCTGCTGGCCGTGCTGAATGCAGACAGCCCCCTCAAGGTCTGTCACAACATTGTGCCTGATTAGATGGTGTTGAGTATTCGTCTGGGTCCAGGACCAAAGCACAACTGTTTCATCAGTGATTGGAGAAGCAGCATGCTAATTCATTTCATGAATCGTGTAAACAGTGTGGAGCACTGGGTGTATGGTCAGGCTAATCTGCACTGTCTGTGTCTGTCTGTGTGTGTGTGTGTTTAGGAGGACGTCACAAAGCAATGGCTGGTGAGAAAGCAGAGGAGTCAAAAGATTGGTGAGGAAAATCAAATTCTAAAGAAGTTAATGAGCATTGAAGAAGCCGAGCAGCCACCCGTAATGTGTCAGTTGCTATTGATTGTAGGAGCATGTGGGCATACAGTGGCACTGTGGACTGCATGGAGTGAAACTTGATGAGTCACTTCCATTAATCAGGTTGGATGTGTGATTAAAGGATAGCAGGTGGGGAAAGCAGCATGTGGAAGGGTTTGGACATGAATGGAACTGTTGATTGTCTCCGTTGTAATCACAGCACTCACTCTCTCCTTTCAGACGCTGTCCGCTACATCCCCCACAGTGGTGAGTGGAAGTCCTGACTTACCCTCAAATGAAATCACAGTTATTGTCATTATTGATTCATCTGCCCACTGAGCCTGGGTGATCTACAGTGTACTGTATGTCACAATATGTGGTCACTTTTATCTTTGATCGATCAACATAATAATATCCTGTCATAAATACACCAATGCACAATTCTTACTTGTGTTGGCTCACTAGTTCATTCTTCTGGACTTAAGGGACAGAGCTGCTTGGCTTAAACATTAGTTATTGTAACTATTTACAATTTAATGATGTGTGAATCTGAAATAGTAAACTTAGTGTGTCAGGACTAGGAGATCCATAATGTGATAAATGTAGTTTATTGTCCATCCTTGCTATCACTTATTTATTTCTATTAATCATGATATTAATCGATCAATACTTGAGTCTGTAAAATGTCAGAACCCAGTGAAAAACGTTTTCAAATTGCTTATTTGTCTGACCAACAGTCCAAAATCCAGATATATTCCCATTCAAACACGTACATCTTTATGTTTTTATATATGCAGATCAGTCATAGCAAATACAACTGACAAAAGCAGCAAATCTTATTACATCTGAGAAGTTGAAATCACTTCATGTTTTATATTAGTGTTTGAGAAACAACTTAGAATTTTCTGTTGGTTACCAAATGATTTCAGGTTTTAGTTGTTTAAACCTGCGCTCACTGAGGTTTTTTGCCAACAGAAACAAGCTGTGAACACAAGCTCAGCACATTAGAAAGTTACCTGTTTACGCAGACAGAGAGCAACATTAGCATTCCTTTGGAGCCATTTGATTGTGTTGATGATGAAGACTATAGTCCAATATTCCCTCTCTCCACCAACTAGAGAGAATATCTGTCTCTTTAGCTGCTTCCCCAGCTAGTTGTGTAGCTGCTGAGCAGGTAGTGTTTTAAAACCAGACTCCTTTCACATTCCACACAGTCACTTGATCTACTGATGATATAAAAAATATTGAATGTAGCAGCTTTAAAGAGCCTCTTCTTCTTCTTTCCAGTGTGGAACTGGATTTGCGACGCTGCAGGTATGAACACTAATCAGATCACCTCTGTTCCTCGTTAGCCTGTTATCAGATCTTCACAGTGTGTGATCTTCCTGCTCTCCTCCACAGAGGAAGTGACTCTGGACTCGGACTCAGCCCACCCAGGCCTGCTAATCTCCAGCGATGAAAAGCGCATGCGCTGCGGCCTGGAGCGCCGGGAGGTCCCGCGGTGCCAGCGGCGCTTCGACGGCTGGTGGTGTGCCGCGGGCCAGGAGGGCTACGCCAGCGGACGCCACTACTGGGAGGTGGAGGTGGGTGAGCGGGACTGGCGGCTCGGCGTGGCCAAGGCGTCGGCGGTGAGGCAGGGCTTCCGCACGCTCAACACAGATACGGGCTACCTGACCCTCCGCCTGGAGAGGGGGGCAGATCTGAAAGCCCTCACGGTGCCCGCCACCCCGCTGTCACCGAGCTTGGTGCCCAGGAAAGTCGGGGTGTACCTGGACTATGAGCAGGGCCAGCTGTCCTTCTACGACGTGGAGAAGCGCTCCCACCTGTACACCTACAGCGAGACGTTCACAGAGGAACTGTTCCCCGTGTTTGGGACCGTGGAGGTGGTCAAAGACCTGGCGATAAGGCCTGCAGATGTCAGACAGCAGTGCCTCTGCCCCGGGCCCTGCCTCTGGACCTGAACTGCTTAACACACATCTGTCACTCCTCAGTCCCGATCCCCAGCAACCCACAGAGTCCGTGCTTTTACTCTGGTTGTGAATTTGAGTCTCGTGTGTTGTTTCTGGTTTGAAAAAGTCTGACTCTCTCTGCGGGTTGCCTCGTGAGGTCTTGAACAACCATCATTCTGCATTATACTTTGTGTTACTCTGCCTTCATGGAGACGTACAGTGTTTGTCTATTTCTATTGTAAAGATGAATATTTTAAGGCTGGTCCAAACCTCAAAAAGCAGCCTTGTTTTTAGCTGGATGGAAATGTTTTTGCACACGGTCCAGTAAGGTTTGAGACGGTTTAGAAGTCCAACAAAGCCCACAAAGAGCCACACATTTTAGTTAAAACCTAAAAAGTTGCAAGGTGTTCATGCCACAGCGGCGCTATGGAAATGTATTTTTTGATAACTTTTTTTTATTAGAGATGAAAAAACAAGAACAAGCATGAACGGCACTGTGTGTGAATGGATGTGCGACTAGATGCTCAGAGTGCAGCTGATGGGAGCTCGCCAACAGCACAGGCAGATAATTACAGACTGGGTTTGACGCATGTGAAGAGGTAATTCTCACTCTGCTTGCTTCTTGTCTCAAGCTTCCTGCAAACATTCGTCAGGCATGAGCTTGTTTCTGCAGCTGTGTTTTTGTTCATGTGTGCAATATTAAGATATCTATGCTTTTTCCCCCCAAACATCAATAAATTAACTGTAAATGCTCCATCTTGTCTTCAGTGGTCACACATACAGATCTAGAGAAAAAAAATCAAATGCAATACAAATTTATTTCATATCTTTATTAAGTGCAACAGAATTGACATACCAAAAAAAGAAACAAAGTAAGCATACATCAAATAATCAATAAGTACATGTATTCTTAACTGAGTGTTTTTGGTGAAAAGGTCGTCCACTTATCCACATCCGGTTTTTCTGATAAAAATATTCTCGCAAAATGTTTTACAAAAGCAACAAAACCAGCCAAAATACAGTAGGACTTGCATTGAAGCAAATACAATCGTTCTGTCTTTACACACCATTTCTCTCAAATATTAAGACCTCAACGTTCCAATATCAATTTACTGAAAATGCACAATACAAAGGCCTTGCAGAGTAAGGAAACGTATGGAAAGTATCAACTTGAAGCAGTGTATACCACATTTTTGAGTAAAAACATCAAACGCAAAAACATGTTACGTATCATAGAGTTTTGATCATTTGTCTGCATTGTAAAATCACGCCCCCTTTGCTTGTCAGTAGGAAATGCCCTTATAAATGAGCAACACGAGTTTTTATGGAAATACTTTTATATTTGGCATTAAATTTAATGTCAGTTTGCTTAAGTAAAAATCTTTAAAAGTATTAAATATGCTTTGAAAATACTTTATCACACTTTAATATAATACAAATCTATTAACAAATACACCACTTGTATATTCTTGATCACTCAGGATAAGACCACTTGTGAAAATGATGAACCATATAAAACATCCACAGCCATTTCAAGTCTGCCTCTCCTCAAAACATCTCAAACACAAAGAGAATGGAAATTTGGTATGATTAAACTTGAACGTCAAAGAGCCACCTCCCAACACACAACCACACACACACACTGTCTCTTACAGTCAGGTGGAGGACAGGAGACAAGGGGAAAAGGTCACTTTGGATTACTGAACTGCGGTCAGATTACTGGCCCGTGCTGGCCCGATTTAAAGCCCCAGTGTGTCTTACCAGATCTGCACCGACAGAGGGAGTGGAGTCTAACACTCAATGATCTGCTTAGTGGGAAGGAACTGGAGTGGAATGCATCAGTAGCAACAGTGAAAATGAATGTAAATGTTAAAATGAACCTCATCTGTGGAGGAAAGTGGCCACAGTTTGTAACAGGCAGGACAGAGCGGCCTCCTCTCCATCTATTTATTACATAAGACCGTGTTTGGTTGTAGAATCTCACACCCACACACACGTATAAAAACATGCACTGATCGTGTGTGTGCACTGTGGAGCCGACGCTTTTTAAAAGAGGAGCTCAGATACGATTCCTCGTCATGTTGGACCTCTGGGTGTTAATTCTTAAGATTCATAAAACATCTTCTTTGTGACGGTGGTTCCTCCCATGACGCTCCGCTGAACCACCTCCTTGGTAATTTGACGGGTCACCATGCCGCTGCTCTCTGTGTGCTGTGATGTCATCATCATCCCGTCTGTTAGAGGAGAGCAGTTGGTGTTAACGAGTGAAGACATTTGATCTGTGTTTTCAGGACACAAAAGTAAGACTGAAGCTGAATTCGTACCTGAGAAGTAGGGGTCGTTGAGCATCGTGTGGGAGACGTTGGTCCGTGTGCTGACCTCTGTCGGCATGTGGAAAACCTCCCTCCTTGACAATGATTGGCTGTTGTACTGAGACAAAGCGCCTACAGGGGGCGAGGAAGGAGAGAAATACAGATGTCAATGGACTAATTGTCACTTTTTTTAAAACAGCCGCTGTTGGGAGTTTTGAGTTTCATTCATATCAAAAGCTTTGTCAGTAGGATTCGTCTTACTTCCGTCCTGAGACTCGATGGTGATGATGCCCTCCCTCTCGGGGCCGAAGCCCTGTGTGGTTCGAGCCTGAACTTTGAACTTGTAGGGAACGTTCTCAGTCAGGTTCGGGACGGTAAGACTTGTCTCAGCACTGTCGCCGTTCACCTGGAAGGAACGCACGTCTCCTGGAGGAAACAAAGAAACAGAGGTCAGACAATACTTTCACTCAAGACTAACAGGCTTATGGGAACCTAGAAACATTTTCTATCTTTCCTGAAAGCCTTACCTCCACCATGCAGCTGTTCGCAGGTGACTACATAGCCCAGGATGTCTCCGTTGGGTTTACGAGGTTTCTCCCAGCTGAGCTGCAGGGAGTCAGGACTCAGGGCAGTGAAGACCAGGGGCCCGGGGGCACTGGGAGTGCTCAGAGTAAATGGCGAGCCTGCAGGGAAAGAAGAGAAGAGAGACATTGCACCTCTGGTGGCTGAACCAAAACAAAGTCATTGTGTCTGTGACCACAATGAACAGAATCCGTACCTGGCATGGGGCTGAGGGGACTCTTGGGGTCCACAGCGGACTCGATGGTGATGACTCCCTCTCTCTCTGGACCCCAGCCCTCCTGGCTCTGAGCCTTCACCTTGAACAGGTAGGAATGGTTGGGCAGCAGGTCCTGGATGATCACTGAGTTCTCCGCTGGGTTTGTCACATTAATACGCTTCATGTCCCCTACGGGAGAGCACACAGATTGTTAGCATCGGCAATAAATACTCAACAATTAGTGAAAAAAGATTACAGTGAAGTTCCACGCAGGGTTTCTTTACCTCCATTGAGCAGCTGGTAGAGGACGCAGTAGCCCAGGATGTCTTTCTCACAGTGGGGCTCCTGCCAGCTGACTTTGAGGGCAGTGGGACCCAGAGCAGAAAACACCAGTCTGCTGGGGGTGTCCGGAACACCGGGGGAAAGCCGTGCATCTGATGGGTGATACAGACACACGAGGGTCACAATACTGTTGGACATGAATGAATATGTGGTCTATCTCTAGCATAAAGGGTGAAACAGACAGAGAACTATAGATTTAACCTGGATACAATACTTTGAATTGTGGAGCATTTTCCTGTGTTCATATTATTTATATTATATTGATGGAGATATTAATTCATAGTTTATATATATTAGATATGGATATATTATCTTCTCAAATTTTTCATTGTTACCCTTCTATTCATTTCCATTGATTTAGTATGAAATTCAACTTGCAGAGACATAAACTTGTTTCAGTGTGGTTATTCCTCACTGGTCAGTTACGTGATCACTGGTTTATAGTGAGGCTGTTGTAGAGACATCATAGCATAGCGATCAGGTTATCAAACAGCTGCCTCCGTACACGTCCAGCAGAGAAAGAGCAATATTCATTTGGACGTGTGTTTCTGGCCACCTGGTGAACGTGATGTAAAGTTAATGTCTTTTGGCTCTGTTTTCTGCCAACTCCTGAGAAAAATATATGGACCCTTTGCTGTTAACCCCTCCACTACATTCACCAGCTAGGTGCCAACTTTGTCACCTATTTGGTGCTGAGCAGGTAGCGCACAGTGATTTTATCACAGCTTTTCTGATTGAGGTAAGGTTGATAAGAGCTGTGAGACTGAACCAAAGTGCAACTATAAGAAATCACCAGATTAACAGAGGCTGTGTCTGAAACCAACATGGCCTGTGAATGCTTTGCTATTCATTGGACTACTCTTGAATGTCTGGTACAATGACAAGAGGTTTTCATCCCTGCCACCACTGAATAATCATGTGAAGTTAACATAACGTAGCATACACAATGAATGAACATGAATGGCTATCTAAAAAGCAGAAAGCCAGCTGAACACATGGCATGGTCTGAATAATGTACTGTGAAGTATACATGATTTGTGGTGGCTAAAACACAAAACAGCAGGTGAGATCTGTAAAGAGGAGATCAGAGAGGGAGACAAGGTATGAGACAAACACAGAGGCAGGAATCAAGATGACTGAAGACAAGAGCATCACGCGTCACACCCAGCAAACACATCCACTGCCTTCATGCTCGTATGCTGCACACTTACCCTGGAGCACCCTGTCCAGGTTATATAGGGCTTCATTGACGTCTGAAGACTGGGTCCTGGCCCTGGAACCCTGAGACAGGCTGTAGCTGAACTGGCTCTGAGAGCTGCTCTGCATCCCACTGTAGCCGAACCCTGATGGCGCGTTGAGCGGGGGGGGGGGNNNGGGGGGGGGGGGGGGGCAAAGGAGGAGGACGGAGGGATGGTAATGAAGAGAGGTACAGGAAACGATGGAAGTAGCAGGAGGGAGGTGGGCAGGTAGAGAGAGGTAGAACAAAACAAAGCAAAGTTGAGACAAGGGGAGGGATGGAGGGAGGGAGGGAGGGAGAAACAGCGATAGTCAGCATAGCTCCTGCAAAGTCAGTGCAGCCAACAGCCCCAACCCTGCTAACAGATGTCCAAGCCGTCGGCGTCATGCGCCTGCACAGTTTACCTGCCGAGGCATCTCAAATATTGCAACTCCAAAGTAAAATCTTTCTTTGACCAGAAAGACAGAGCTGTATTTTCTACATTTACTTTGGAATAAATTCAAACCACTAAGCCTACCTAGATCTGGGAACTTGCTTGACACATCTCCCATGACGATAGAGTCCCGGATGTTTTCATCTGTGTAACCTCTCTCTGAGCGCTTCCTCATGATGACTTCTGATGTCTGCACTCCTCCTCCGATCATGTCCTGTCTACGAGAGCTCCCTACAAGAGGAGCGAAAGATGAAGAATACTGTAAAGACAAATTATATCTTGACGCTTGCTCTGAATTTCTCTGGTGTCCATTTTACCTGGTCCGGACATGTAGGTGGTGGTTGTTTCTGTGAAGGATCCGCCTGCCCCTCTGTAGTTTGAGCTCAGAGTGGACATAGGAGAGGACGATGCTGACAGGTTGCGAGTTGCTGATCCCCCCGGGAAAAGGAAGTTCTGGTCCCACTTCCCATTCATCATGTAATCTGTGAAACACCACAATAGGAGCCAGAATTGTCAACACACAGGACACAGGGAGCTTAGCAGTTAGCATTCAAGCATTTCGGACAACACAGTGCCATTGATGCCAAGCACCCGAAACCAGGCGTAACCAATCTATAGAGGAAGCACCAGCAGTGTCAGATCTGGAGCTCGATCCTACTTGGGCCACTTACAGGTTACAGAAACAGTTTAGAATGGCAGGTGTGCGCCATCTACAGGCAAAGAAAGTAATAGCTTTGCTGCGTGCAGGTGATTAAATTAAAAGTAAGCTTAACTTTCTTTGCCTGTAGGTGTTGACCTCGACATGTCTTGATTTAAACTGTTGCTGCTATTTTTTTACAAACCAGTTTCATAAGATGCTTGTGCATCTAAAAAGGCACATCTGTAAATAAAAACAAACACAGCTGCAAGAAAAACAATTAACAGCTGCAAGGAAAGGTGTCATCACTGAAACGGCCCTGCAGAAATGAGACTGTATTTAATGAAGAAGCCATTATTTCCATACAGCCGCACAGTTCACACACACACCCGACAAGCCTCCTCCACTACCTCCAGACAGAGACAGGCACCTGGAAAAGCCTGCCCCCGATCATCAACTGGAGGTGGGGCAGTTGATGCCAGTGCTCCTCTCTGGGCAGGTGGCGGGAGGATAGATGGGATAGGTGCCAACGAGGGGCAAGGGGACAAGAACTGAAGCCCCGAAATTGAATGATTAGACAAATGTTGATATTTCTGACAGGATCAAATCACGGAGGCAGAGAGAAACGGTGGTTGCCTTGCCGGGCACCTGACAGGACGTGCATAACAGCTGGCATGCTAGCTGCCTGTCTGTCTATCTGTGGGTCTGATGGAGTGGTCTTCACCTGGCAGGGGTGTTTTGGCGTAGCTGCGGTTGGGGGCCTCATCTGAGCTCGTCTCTGTGTCTGTGCTGAGCCGACTGGGGATGATGTCCACGTGCTTTTTCCACGACACCTTACGGAGATCCAGGTTGGACCCCACCAACTTGACATATTTCCAGCCTTGTATTCGAGGTCATAAGGGAGAAGCAAGCAGGCCATGGATAGATTTGTAGCGAAGAAGTACGAATGGTTGCTTTTACATTACTTTATAAAAAAGCTACCAAGCACATAAATGGGATTATATATATGTATATATATATATATATATATATATATAGATAGTCCAAATTGTCTTGAAGGTGAGGAGCAACATCAGCATTAACTTCCAAAAAAAACTGACTAGGAGCACCAAAACGGCTGCGGAAAGCAGGAGAGTGACAGCAGATTTAGGGAGGGAAGTCCTTGCGGTTTGTGATCGTAAAGAACTTCGATTGCAGAGATCTGGGGATGCATTGGAAGCAGATTTTTTCTGCTGCCGTGCTGGGGCGTTTCCTGCAGGAGAATTTGCCCGTCAGATGGAAATGATAAAAAAAAGGGAGAGCCATGAGAATGATGCCATCGTTGAGCTTCAAAACTCTTACAGCTCTTCCTTAATGTCCCCATTGCAAAACATATGTGAATAATATCACAGAATAACTGAGAAAGAGCCAGAGAAAAGGAGAAGAGGCCTTCTCATGCTGTTTTTGGAGGGAGTCTCACAAGTTGGGCGATTTCCTACAGCCCAGATCTAACCAACATTTCACAGTGTTGTCCATTTCCTCTCCTAACCAGGCACTGACACCACAGCACACATTGCAAAAACACTTGGGTTAAACACTGTGGCTACAAGAACAAAGCAAAATGTCTGGGAGCACTGACAGTGAATAATTGGATCCATACTGCAGCGATAGCTCACATAGTCTGGCAGTCACATGCATCTTTCAGGAGCCAAAAATGTATCAGAATAGAGCATTAGCACAATGAGTTTACACTGTCAGCTGTTGTAAGTAGCTTGTGGTTTTGGCTCGGGGTACCCACCATCACCAGAGACACTGGGTGTCTTGGAGCCCGTGGGGGACTTCAACACCTCATTGCTGTACATCAGGTAGCTGTCGTACTCATCTCCAGCCTCTGCATCCACAATAGGGATATCTGGAATGATGGGAACTTGGGACAGAAAGAGAAGGGGAATAAATCTCTTTTCAGGGAAATACAGATGAACTGGAAGTGTTCTAGAGGTGTGTTTGCCCCTGACTTACTGGACATAGGTCTGGCAGGCTGTGATGCCAGGTTGATGGTAGCATCTCTGAAGGGACCCCAGCCCACGCTGTTCTTGGCACGGACCTTGTACTGGTAGGTCTGGGCGTTCTGCAGGTTCTCGATCAACAGCATTCGCTTCTTGGGGTTGTCAATCTTTACTTTCTTAGCGGTGCCCGCTGGCTCTGTGAGAATAGCGATGAAAATAATGAAAATTATATATTGCAAATATTTGTACAGTATTTCCTTTCTTAGGTTGGAGTAAGTCTCTTACTCTGTTCATCGTCGATGGGTGTGTAGATGACTTCATAAGCTGTAATGTTGCCATTTGTCTCTGCAGGCTCTCCCCAGCTGACCTGAGTGACAGTTGGACTGATGACATTGAAGGCCAGACGTCCAGGTTCACCAGGCACTGGAAAAAACAGAGAACAGGAAGCGTTAATTCAAACTTGACCTAGTTATAACGAAAGTGTGTAGTAAGTTAAGACTTACACGTCACTAATTTTAAACTGGTTGCACCGCACAAACTTGTTTAATATGTATAAATGAGTTGCTACTAAATACTGACACACAGTAACTGTTGCGTAGCTAACTAAGTCAACAAAAGTAACGTTAGCTTGCTAATATATGACCTACCAGTTTAGAGTGAGGAGTTAAAGAGGTAATATAGAATACGGTTGACAAATTTAACCTAGCACCTGATGAAATACTGTTTAATATTAATTTCATTTACATTTCACAAAAATAGCATAAAATATCTAATTACTAAATCGCTGAATAACACAACTAGCTTAGCATTATCCACTCATTCTAAACTGTATGAATACGACTGATTCTGAAACACATAGTTCTCCATGTGTGTTACAAAGTATGTTACAAAGGATTGGCATTTTATTTGAACTTCTGGAAGTTTTGCTGCTACTGATGCTACAATGACTTCATGTCTACATAGTCTACACACTACACATGTTTTCTAGCAACAGATTTAGATATTGCCAAAGTGTTTCCTACCTTAGCTAAGATATAGTTTTAGTTTTAATGGTGCAATCTGGTTCAGTAAATCGCTCATCTGAAACCTGCTCACTGTTAAAACCTTAGAAAGAACTTTACATTCAAACTTAGGGATGTATTTAAGAATAGTTGGTGCAACCCAATATTATAAGATTATATTACACCAAAAACAAACAAAAAGCACCTGAATTCTCTTTACCAGAGAATAACTTTTTAACCAGTTATATCTGCTGCTATCTCCAGCCGTAATTCTCAGTAATTACCATCCTCCAGTGTTTGACAGGTAACAACGTCTGTATTGTAGCCATCTCCCAATGCATTGTAGCCGCACACTCGCATCTCATAGTCACAATAGGGGTACAGGTTGGTCAGCTCAGCTTGAGGAGTCTTCACATCTAAGACCTGTGCATCTTTCTCTGGGTCACCATAGATCCAGTACTTTACCTAAAACACACAAGGTAACAAAAGATACATAGCATGCATTTGAGAAATACCGTGTCTGTCGTAAATGATGGTTATAAACTCAAGGTGAATCTTCTCAACATGTAGATTTGATGTACCTTGTACCCCATGGGGTTACCAGGCGGTGGGTCCCAGTTGAGGCGGATGCTTCTGGGTCCAGTTGCTTTGGCCTTAGGGTTATCTGGGGCGATAAGGTGACCACCAGGGGAGGTGGCTTTCTGGTTTATGTAGCCCTTCTGTTGCATTTGGGCAACCTCTGGAGATCTGGGAGCTGCAGGAAGTGGAAGAGTATAAAACAGACGTTTACCAGATACAGTACCTCTGTTACATCGCTTCTCTCATCATATAAAATCTGTAATGTCACAACTCCAGAAACTCTACATATGCTATTGTGTGGTATTGTTAGTTCCATGTTCTTCTCTTACCTCCTTCAGTGACATTGACAATGGTGGTCTTCCTCTCTCCAATAGAAGCGTTGCTACTTGGCTCAAACAGCTCCAACTGGATGGTCTCTGGCTGGATTGGACCAGGGTGGGCCCTCGGGTCGATCACTATGTTCTTCTCCGTCTCTCCAGGAGCAAACTTTAGTGGGCCGGAAAGCTCAAAGCGCTGGGCCTTCTTGGTGCGCCATTTCACTGTGGCGGGGCTGTCCTGGTTGCGTGTGCGGACCACAGGGATGGTGTAGGTTGGATCAGATGTGGTGAAATTCTGGGCGCCCTTTTTAAACATCATCACACTGGGTTCTAGATAAAATAAGGTAATGAAAGGAAGAGAAGAAACCTTAGCAATCAGTGCTTTGACTGGGAGAAAGGGTATGACACACTGATTTAAAAACTTCGTGTTCCCTTTCACCTGGTTGGTCTGCGATGGTGACCGTAGTTCTTGGGTAGCGTCCCAGCTTGGCACCCTGCCGTGGGTTACTGAGATCCATGACAAACTGCTTGACCTGTTTGTCTTCCAGGAGGCCGTCTTTCTCGCCCAGTTCCAGCAGACGAACAGGCACTGTTTTCTGAGTTTCACCAGGACCATATGTCAGGTCCCCTTCCACAGTCACGTAGTCCTAATATACATAGAAAGAACAAGTTAGGAATACAGCCCTGCTTCCATCCTGTATCTCAGCTACTCCTCATTTCAAACTCAGCCCTTTTCACTGGGAAATGCCAAAGCCATTTCAGTTATGGTAGGAATAAATATATCAACAATTGTAGGGCAGTACACAGCCATCAGCTCACCTTCTTATCCTTGGCTGTGAGGTCCCGTGTGCGGTAGGTGACCTGTGTGCGTCCATCTTCTATGATCTCTCTGCTGATTGGGATGTTGGCCACCCCGTCCTGCCGGCTGTAGGTGTAGAAAGGCTGGAGGAACGAGAAGACACTGGTGGCTGGGGAAGATGAAGGGGAGAATCCATTAGAGTAATCCAGAGTGAACACTTCCCTTTCCCATTAGTTCAGGTCACAGCTCTGATGAGTTGATCCCATTATTTTCTTTTTATTGAAAAGGTTTACATACAAAGCTAAAATTGTATTTTCAAGTGCAAATCTATGAAATCTAAGATTGCTCACCATGCTCTTTGATGATAGTGATGTTGACCAAACGTTTTCCAATCTCAGCGATGCCCAGTGGCACATCCATGGCCTCCACCAGTAGCTGTTTCTTGTCATCGTCTTCATCCTTGACGAAGAGCGGCACGTGAACGTCTACTGACTCCACACCTTCTTGGAACTCTATGGCTCCAGCAGCCTCTGCAGAGGAAGAGCGGTTGAAACCACAAGATTTATGGCAAGACTGATAGAGATATAAGCTGCTCAGCAGAGGTCAGAAAATGATTAGTTTAACTTTGCTACAAACTGTACATGAACATGTTCTTTTCAGCCACACACACAAATAGTTAACACACACCTTTGTCTGTGGCCACAGTGTAGTAGCCGGGCACCACTTTGAGGTCATTTAAGTTTCCAGACTGGACATTTTTCTCAGTGAGTTTGACAATATCAGGGTAGTTGCCGCGTGGAGCAGGCAATACTGTGTCCATGATGGCGTAGTCCTGCCTGAAGTGCACAGGAGAGGCAGAGAAGTTAGACATGCATTATGCTTTGCTTACTTCAAAAGACAATAAACTCTTGTATTGTATTGTACCTTTTTCCAGCATTTCTCTGCATTCTGCAAAAAACAAAAAAGTATTAATGAGTGAGAGAACAGACATTTCATTTCTATTTTTGTCTTCATTACAAAAACATACATACTGTATGCAACTAGACATGCAGTTTAACATTTGTTTCCTACCTGAATGAGGTCTTCTGCACCTTCTGGGCACCAGGAATCTGCTTGTACACCTCATTTAGCTGAATAAAAGAACAAATACAGGACTCAGCGATACAGTCATCATTTATACACTAGATGTGATGTGACCACCAACAAACAAAAAAACACTCACATTATCAGACACTTCCTTGCGGAGCTGTTCAGCGTCTCTGGATTCGGGGCGAGACAGGTTCTCAGAGAACAACTTGTTTAGCCGGAGGGAGATTGGGAACTGGACTACAGGGGAAAAGAAGAACCACAAAGATGAAGCAGAGGTTTTAACTATTTTAACTTATCTTTAAATCCAACATCTGCCTTTCCCCTTAATGCAGTAGGTCAGCTTGTTGCTGCTCGAACATAAGATCACTCACTGATCTCTTTAGGGTTGGGCTTTATCAGAGCCTGGGGGTGGTTTGGTCCTCGATGTACGTTATCAGTGACCTTCCAGCGAACCACATCGGTTCCTTTGGGTGGGCCGGTCCTAACCATCGGTGTGTCTAGATGGTCTGAGGTGAGCAGAGACTGGCGGAGCAAATACTCATCTTCCTTGAAGCCAACCATGCGACCTGGAGAGAATATACATAAGGTGACTCATACTCAACATGGTCCCAGGTGGGAGGATGAAGGATTCAAAGAATACTGTCATGTGTATTGTAACAAACTTACCTCTCCTGCAGCAGGGCAGCAGGGCAAGACAGCTCTGTGTCAAGAGAACACAAAAGACATTACTTCCACTGATAATTGAATATAAATATTGATAATTTACAGGTGTAAATATGAGTGTTTATACCTGGCAGCAGGTTTTACAGCAGGCACAGTATTTCCAGCAGCAGAGCAGCAGAAGTGCCAGCAGTAACAAGAGGAACAAGAGGAGTGGGAGCAACCACAGGAGGCTAGCAGCAGGACAATCTGAAGGTTTGTTAGAAACACAACAAAAGAATTTAGTTTGTAGCGCTCACACACTTCAAAAAAATTACATTAAAAAAGGTGACTTATCCACATAACACTTTTCCTTCAAATCTAGGTTGGATAGCCAACTGTGCAAAGTGGGACCCCAAAGGACCCCAAAAGGCCCCAGGTTCTATGCATCTATAGCTTTTTGGTAATCTTATTAACATTTATGATGTGGTCCTGTTTTATAGATGAGCTCCCACAATAAAGGGTCTAAAGGTTGTAAAGCCCCCTGAGGAAAATGTGTGATTTGTGATATTATATAAATAAAACTGACTTGCCTTACTATGTGCACTGGACTTGGACATTAATGGTAATGTGGAGACAACAGGGTACATAATGCACAAAGATAGGGAGATCAATAGGGGTCAAACAACTTATTTTAGCCCTGTTTTAAATATGAACTCAATTTCTTTTTTAAATGTGGGTGAAGCTTCCCTCTAAGAACCTGGTACCTGTTTACAAATCTATTGATGTGCATGCTCCTGTTATATCATTAATGAACTGCAGAGATATTTTCTTTTACTGCACTGCAACAAGACAGTGTTTTAAGAAATGACACATCAGTTGCTGAAATGAAAGCAAAGAGTTTGTATGATACATATGCAACCTGCAACTCACCTTTCTTTTTGAGCACTTGAACCTCCAAGTCTTTAACTGTTGGATCTGTGGGGTTTTCGACAGTGTAGTGGTACGTACAGTCGTCATCCTCATCACGGAAACTGCACGAATCAAGCACTTTCTTCGCTGAAAACACATACACGCACATTGAACTGTTATTGAGTGTTTTTCAATGAAAAGCAAATCACAGCCCTTCGAATCCTCTTATATGTCCTTACATTCTTTGAGTTCATCCACCATGACAATTTTGAAGGGGCACTTTTTACACTCCTCTTCATCTTTCTTCTCTCCGGTCTTCCATGCCTGACACTGGACACAGCCCCTTGTAGCTTCACACACGCCCAACTGGGCCTAGACAGGACACAAACACACACACGCACACACACACAAAGGTCAGGCAGGACTGCACAGAAACACTAACTAATATTATAAAGCTAAAAGCATATCAGGTATGATATGAGGCATTGAGTGTAAATGAAAAAGCAAAAACTAGAAATTGTGTTGGAAGTTGAAATTGATTCCAATGCACACCCTGTGACATACTGTAAATACACATATTTATACATTACATCCACACACCTGGAAATTTGGCTCACAGGTTGCAGTCATCTCGACAGCAGAGTGTGAACACTCACAGCGGCCGCACACACATTTACCGCGCCCGTTGCAGACACCCTGGTCCAGACAAAGACACAGTCAGGCACCAACTGACATGCAAGGTGACATAACCTCATCTACAACAACAAACATTGTCGCCTCTACTCACGCCCTTGTTGTCCAGACAGGTCTGGTTGCTCTTGGGACACTCACAGGCCTTGCCCTCCCAGCCCTCGGTACAAGCACACTGACCCATAATGCAAGAGCCACGGTCTGATAGGAGAAAAAAGTATGAGAGTGAACTGTTTTATCACTGCGGTATGTGCTTTGTGTGTGTGTGTAAACAGTGGTGGCAAGGTAATTAAGCAGAAATGACGAATAAAATACAGACAAAAGCTTTATCTGAACATTCCTTGAACTTGACACAGATTGATTAATTGATACTGATGATCAAATTACCATAATGTGTCACCAAAAGCTCCTTTACTGTAAATTTAGGTAAATAGCATTTCATAGTGCCAAAACAACTTTTGATTAGACTACTATAATAATGGAACGCATGATAGACATCATAATATGCTATTTGCTAGATTGATAAATACAGGGTTTTGTATGTATATAAATAGCACAATAGCATTATGGCACAATAGGGGTGATGGTGACATTATACACATACGTACAACCTTTGATTGCTAATTCAACAATCACAAACCGTCGTACCGTTGCAGAGAAAGCCACCATATCTTTGACACTGGGTCTTGTCATACTGACAGTAGGCTCCTTCAAACTGTTCCTGGTGGCACACACAGGTTCCACACGCCAGGCATTCTCCGCGACCTGAACAAGGCTCTTTCGAGCCAGGACCTATACACTGGTCTTTGGCCTGAGCTGAAACACTTGCTGAGCAGTTACAGAATGCACCCAGCCTGAAGGAGACACATAGAGACAACCAAGAGAAGACAAAGACTTTTGTGAAACAGTTCATCACTTGGCAGAGGTGCAAGAACAAAGGTAAAAGGATTTTAATTATACATTCTTTGTAAGAATGAATAATTAAAGTCTCACCAGCCATCACTGCACTGACACTTGCCGCACACCAGGTCTCCGTTGCCGTTGCATCTGGCTGCTTTAGGGATGGATGTCTGGAGGACACATAAAAGACAAACTGGGGTTAATCTGCCATAAAGAAGTATGAGTAAGTGACTTCATCTCGACCTGTTCTTTGCTTTAGTGTGTTAATCTGTGTGCCTACCTTCTCACAGTCGCAGACTGGACACAAAACCGTAGCATTAACACTGACAGCAGCATTAAAGGTTGTAGGTTTGACTCTCATTATGCCTGCTTTTTCATCCGGATTCATTTGACAGACAGGCGTCTCATCGCTTGTTCTCAGGGCTTTGAGCCTCATCTGGAACTTGCCCTGAAGGACACACACACACACACACACACACTGTGAAGAACATTTGTATGCATACTAAGCAGAAAGACTCTTAGCAGAGATGGTTAGACCAACAAGTTAGGAACATTTTAGACTTCTTGACTACAGTTAAATAGCCTGTACAACTACAAAAACTGATTTTAGTTATTCATTATTTTATTCGGTCAACAATTTGTGTAAACAGATTATTCATTTGATAGCAATAATGTAAAGCCATCGTGACAATTACAATTTTGGTGATAGACTGATGACTCATTTCATTCCTCCAAACCCGACCCTATTTTACAAAAGAAGTTAGAAAAGGGTCAAATGAAAATCTATGTATCTGCTTGCAATAGCAGGAGGTACTTAAGATGCTCGATTTAAGTTTTTGGTCGTTTTTTTCCCCATGTAATTTATTACAGTCTGCTTTAAATATGTGTATGTAAATACTGTAAGTAAAATCCTTGAATATCTGTTGTGTAAAACTTGTAGGTGAATAAGAAGATGAAGAGGAAAATAGAAACTGTGCTGTGATGTGATGTTTTTCTAACCTTTTTACTTTTTTCATTTATCTATTGTTTTACCCTTTAAAAGTTATACGTGTGAGATTTAAAACATTAATGTAAGGTAATGCAAAGTCGGTCTGGATGCACATGCATTGGTAGTGAATGTGAGTCCCTTTGTTTCCAACTCAGCCAGCCCATTTCAAGACTATTTTCTCATCGAACTCAGTGACTTATGGGTTTATTTCAACCTAGCCGTGTTGGTAATTGTTTAAAAGATTGAGTTTTATTTTGTTTCTGTCTAGTTTGAAGTGAGTTTTACGATTATCTGCTAGGTACAATTACTAGTTTTGTTGATGGTGTCGGCCGAAGCACCCGTTGTTTTGGTCTGAGATGCTGGTACTCTACTGCAGCATCCAGACGCATATATACAACCTTTAAATGTATATTCATGCATTATCAAAAATAGGTAGTGAAGTGTAGACTATTTGTAATTGTAAAAATCTAAATGGAAAATACATTTAAGAAAATAAATAATAAATAAAAACATAATGAATATATTAGTTGTAAGCACGAAATATCAATCTATCAGCTTATAAAAACAACATGCGGTCTCCTAAATCCAAAATGAGTGTATGTTGTGTGTTAAGTCAGTTCTTTTCATCTTGTTTTTCTTCTTACTATTGCTCCAGGTTTGAAATCAAAATTCCCGTATTGCGCAATGCTTCCACTGGTGGACAAGAACTGTGTCTCAAAAGCCTTGGGTTTCTCCTCTGAACGGATGCTCATCTTAGAACGGATATTCTGAAAGGACACATGAGAACATCAGCATTTTCTGCAGCATCGTCATTCTTCCACTTGACAACTGTCAGAGGAGGTGACGTTTTACCTCAAAGGCAGTCCCCATGACTTCCAGGATATTGGATGAGTCTTCTTGCAGCAGACCAACCTCAGCAATGGGGAAATATTCTTGGAGTTTCTACAGAGAGAAGCACACACAATACAAAAAAAATGAATGCATGACATGTTTTAGGAGCATAACTTCAACTGAAAGCTGAATAACTAAAGCCCACCAACCTTGTAGTACGTGTAGGAGTGGTTGGTGACAGCAAAGATGGGTATGATGTTGTGTTTGCCCAGCAGGCGGACCAGTGTGGGTATCGAAGGGTAATCCTGGTTTATATCCTCTGTGTATTTGCCAGCTGCGTCCAGGTGGCATTGCTCGTCGTTGCGAGGCAGGATTCCTGACAGCACGTTAGCACCATCAGCCTCGTAGTGAAACGCTGACTCAGTGGAGAAAACCAGGAGATGTGTGCTGTTATCGCGCCAACCAATCCTATCCTAGAATAAGAATAACAATCAAATGGGAGCAGAAGATACAGTAGTTAGTAGAGAATAACCGCAGATAAAAGAAATAAAAAGGTGCATATTTTGCAGAGCACAAGCCACTGACATATTGAATTTCCTTTCATCCGTCATATTCTTAAAACTGCCATAACTAATTACTTGGCCACATTACATAGATACATTATCACATTTTAAGTTGAACAGGAACTGTTTCCTACACAGACAGCAGATACAGAACAACATTATTGATATGGAGGCATATTTGTGTCCACCTGTCACTAACCTTATCTGTCATTTGGTACTAGAAAGTTAGTGGGTTTTTAGAGCTTTTTAGATTAAAACAGCTTTCTGCTGCAGCTGAACTAACCTTACGAGGCAGCTGGACTCGCTATGTCCGCTTGTGTCCGAACCACAGCGGTTTAGACCGATCAGTGTCCTATGAGGAACTACTGGCAGCTACAGCATGAGTTAGGGATGGTTTAATGCTGGGTGTGTGTGATATCATGTGTGAGAAGTGACTGTTCGCTCAAAAATAACAATTCACCTGTGATACAACATGATAGACAGATGGTTCATGCAAAGTATTTCGTGAAAGTGCCTGCCTTTTTCCAACCAGTTCCCAACAACTTCCCAAATGGTTCTGTGTAACAAACCAACAACAATGAGCTGAAAGATGGTAAAAAAGCTCTGTAGAGCTGAGGGAAACTGGAGGGTTTGATGATAATTTGCTGTAGGTTCATCACACACACTAATTTGATCCATTATTATTATAAAAATATTGATTATAGCCACTTTAAAGACATCATTATTAGATAACATTATAAGAGTGACATTAAGAGGATCACAAGCAAGAAACTTCCTCTGCTCCCTTTTACTTCTGAAATATTTATCTGTGACATGCTAAAACAGTAGTAACAGTAGCATGAGGAAAGAAGAGTCATAAAGTCAGTGAACTGAATCACTAATGTCAATTACACAGCATTATGTACCTAAACATCAATCACCATGCTTTACCACATCAGTAAGGCTGTAGCAGCAAAACCAAAGTGTACCAAATTGAGCAAAGGTGTGTTTTATTTTTAACAAGTTTAACAGAAAACCTGGTTTATCTTTTCTTTCAAAAGTTATATGGTCTTACAGAGTATTAAGAGGTAAGTTTTAGCCTGGGCAACATCTGTTTTGTATTTAGTATTCTTACTAACCCCACAAACTGCAGCCTGCAATATGGCATCAAAACCTCCTTCAGGAGCGTCCAGGTTGCCAGATATTCTCTCTTTCTGGAGCTCACTGTTGAAGAAATCCAAGTTTGTTGTCAGCTTGATAACATTTTGGAAAGAGAACGGAGGGTCGCTGTTGGGCCACGGCTGTGCGAGTCTGAGAAGGTGGAAGGAGGACAGACAAAAGACAAGAGAGAAAGGTTATGGCCTGTACACTAGATTACACTACTTAACGTATGTGCTTCTGCAATGTGTTCATGTCATTTTCTCTCTTACTTGGAGGGTCTCATGTCAGTCTGGGGTTCAATCACTTTGTCCACAAACTTTCCAAACCCAATGGTGAAGTCATTTGACAGCTTCTCCACCAATACAGCTGCAGGAAATACATTCAACATCATCAGTATTAACGTCGTCAACTTATTCGACAGTCATCGCGACACACTGCCGGTACACAAATGCTCACCCAGCTCTTTGCCCATCCTCTTCAAGTTGTCCAAATCGTCAGCCATGGAGTTGGAGAAGTCCATAAGAATATAAAGGTCCAGAGGGCCTCTGGTCGGAGTAAACACCTCTACATTCACCAGCCTCTCCTCTCCTGGAAGAAGCTGCACGCTCATCTTTTGTGGAGACACTTGAGACTGCTGAAGCCTCATGTTGATTTTTTGCTCCTGAGCAGGAAAAAATAGAGGTTAGGTTTAGATTGCATTCTTTTGAAATTTAAACAAGAACATACATTTAAGACCAAAGAATGGTAGAATGACTGGAAGACAAATGAGGGTGATTAAGACTTACTTCTTCTATCTTCATACTGCTCTTAGCTGTGATTACAGCAGCAGCATTGCAGCCGTGTAGCCGTATATTGCTGTCCAGGTCACACCGAGGGCCGTTAAAGGTCTGAGCAAACAGGAAGTTTGATTAGTTAGTTTTTATTTCTCAGCATTAACTTACATAGTCTTCATATTACAATCAGTTTTGTTTCATGTCAAGTATAAATTCAGCCTGAAGATTAATTCTTCACCCTGCAAATAGTAGCAAACTCCATCTGTTGATGAAGACCAGGAGTTAAAGTTGAAAGCTCTAAATAAAGATTGCGAGTCAACCTTTAGATAAGATTTTTGTTTTTTGTCAAATTACTATTATTACATTACTGAAATGTCATACTTTCATACTGGTTACTTTATGACAACTGAGGCATCTCCACAATCCCTGAGCAGATTCCATCCTCTGATGAAGACCATAACATGCAGCTGTAAGTACCCAAAAAAGCTATTAGGTTGACCTTGAGTTAAGATTTTTTTTGTCAAATTAAAAATTGGAATTTGCCTTAGTAACTACTTTATTATATATATGTATATATATATATATATATATATATATATATATATATATCTTTTTTACAAGAAT